GTGTGTGTGTGTGTGTGTGTGTGTGTGTGTGTGTGTGTGTGTGTGTGGTTGATGCTGAGGGTACTTCAGATGATTAATCAGAGGAAGCACCAGAGTAAAAATTTGCTCCACAGTTTTGTAAGACCATTGGAGCGGTTATAAAACTGAAATTAGTCGAGATCGAAATGCTTCACTGACACACTCCAGCATGGATCCCGTCACACGCTGCACATTCACCGAGGTGACGCCGATCCCTTCCGCTCGGCCGACAGCAAACGGAGTCTGTTTCAGCACGAGGTCCAAGGCAACGCTCAGTCCCCGTCAGTCACATCCTCTGAGATGTCAGTATATTTAGATGTCTTCACATATGGCGCTGGCGTTTTCTTGAGCTGTAAGTTCGTCATGTGTTCGTGTGAAATAGAGAGGATCAAGTCTGTCAAAGTGCTCCTCTCCACAAGAAGGGAGCTGAGTTCTCTGTCTTCTGCCATCCAATGAGGCGTCATTTCTTATGATTCTCTGCCATCAATCACTTTGTTAGCGCAGGTGTCTCATTTTTCAAACGTTGGACATCTCATTTCGGAGGAAAACATTTCATTTAGATCCCCGTGGCTTGTTCATATTTTAACATGACAGTTTTATCGCACGAACATCCAGGTTGAAATTAAAAGTCTCTTTTCAAAATGAGTGAATATTCGCACAAAACACCTTTTGATAGAGAACTAATTTAATTTAGTGCCACTGTTTTTCATGCACTGTATTGCACGTTTTTCAAAAGGCAGATATTTTATTATCACGATGGAACACTTCCATTTTTACCACCTAGCAATATTAACCTGAAGTGCCAGATGGGTTGTTACACAGAACCATCTGAGAAGCTGTTATTGGAAACTGTTTTTAAAAGGGCAGGCACTTTAAAAAAAAAAAACACTTGGCAGGTGATTGGATGAACCATCTGTCAATCAAACTCTTGCCAAAGCCGGTCTGAAGAAAATGAAAACCCTTCAGTGCGGAAGCCAACAACGGCTTTGTTTACGATATTTTATCTTATTGCCGAAATAACAATTATTTTGTCATTTCAAGATAAAGCATATTTTCTCATGATGAATGATTTATACTGTATATCTCTATTCTCAAGAAAACAAAAAGGCCAATTTCTCTAGATAAGATAAGTCATCATAGTTGACTGAGAGAAAGGCAAACACGCTGCTGTGTGTGTGAACAGTAGCCTGTTCAGCACCACAGCGGCCCGGACAGCTCCGCCTCAGGCTAACAGGGTTAAATACTATAACTCTGAAATTAAATAATATCAATATTCTTCTCCTGAAATGACGAGGAGTGATCTGAATGTTCTCTCTACCGGAAAGAGACGATGCCGTTTCTGATTGAAGCACAGTCTGATGCATTGATCTGTATCTGACATCAGTTGGTGCGATTGTCAAGATGCCATCTAAGCATGCCGGCATGCTGGTATGCCACTCCTGATCTCCTCGTCTTTGATATAACAAAGCTTTATTTCTTGAGATGAGAAAGTCATTGACTGGATAAAAAGGGTACTAATGTTATGCCTGGACGTTCTTCCGTACTTCAGTGCCGTTTGTTGCTCTTCTTTCAATGAACAAATGCTCTCCAGTTCTGATATAACTGTTGCTATTCCAGCATCTATGCTGACCGCTTTAGGAGCCGCCAGTGTTGTTTTGAATAATACACCAATATAATACACCAATATACCTGAACCAACTAACTGTGGTTAATCACTGAAACCACCTCAAAAGATGGTCAGAGCTGCACTCTGACACTTTGATATCAAAGTCTGAAAAAGTGAAAGAAATCTAGCCTTACACCAGCAGTCAGTGTTGCTGCACTGCTTAGTATGTCATGCTCTCCTGTAACAATAGAGACATGAAGAGGACAAACAACACGCCTGCTACCTCGCTGACCCGTCACAACAGCGAGATGTGAATCATCAGCTGATGCTTGCGTTATGCTAGTTGGCGGAGGCAAACTACTATGTGACAAATTGGCATTTCTCCATGACTCGTGAGATTACTACAAAATGCATAACATACTTTAGAACTTGAAAACATCCAATCAATGCTGTTTATAATATATAAAACGAGATGCCTAATGTATTCAGCCACCTAAAGTCATTCACTACTTCAAGCTAGAGGACAAAATACGGTACAAGTTTAGGAATATTCTCCTTCAAAACATCAATTTCAACAAAGGAGTCCTGTTTTCTTTTTTTTTTTAATCTTGTGATCACAACAACGTGTCGGGCAGAAAACATCTGCGATCCAGTGGGTAAAATAAGTGGCCCGTGCAGCACTGGAGCCTCCCCAATGCCTCCAACATTATGCATAAAAGACACATAAGTTTAATACTTATTAATAATAATAATTAGTATTAATAATAAAGTTGTCAGGCCGGCGAGGCATGCAGTATTTATGTTTTGAAAATAAATGATTTTGGTGCACTGGAGGCTTATTTTAATTCCACGTGTAAATGAAATACAGATCGTTCACGATGCAGATATCGCTTGTGAGTCATTTTAATGTCCGACGAGAGAGGGAGAGGGGGAACGGGAGCACAAGAAAGAGAGGATGAGAGGGATGGAGAGAGCACTTCATCAAAGGCCTCAGCATCATGTGGGGGATTATGCAGATATTGCCATCCAACCCCGCTAGCAGCATTTCAAAATGGAGCAATGACAAGGTGTAATAATGACAACAGCAGAAAAAACAGCAGTATCGTAGTAGAATGGTGAATTTGCACTCCTGTGACCTGAGGGACCAACTCAACCCAAAGAGGTCCAACTTATCTTGGCAACAAAAACAGCATGCTAACACGACACAGGCAACATCGTATCCGTCGTCATTATCTCCATGTTCAACTCGTTGACATTTGTCACCACATTTTAGTCAATCCCTCTCACTTACACGTGTTCAGATTTCGGGTACAACATTAATGTTTCAATTTGGAACCCATCACATGAGATGCGGGTCTGAAAAGTGAAGTCAATGTTGAATAAATACAAAAATACTTTAACCACAAGCTCCACTTAGTCACTGTTCCAGAGCCATTAGATCAGAATGAACGTGGCAGGTGTGGCACTGGTGTGTTTGTACAGACAAGGTAACGAGCTGTCCTGATAATAAGCAAGAAGAATGTTGCTCCTGATGATGAAACAGTTTGAGTACCTGCAGATGCACAACATCGTTTATGTAGACTTTGCACAAGTAAGTCTACTGCTTAGTTATTTATGTTCATTATTTATTTACCACATTATAATTAGAAGTGTGGAAATAATGTACTCACCAGTAAAGAGAAGAGGAATACTAATTGACTGTCCACACAGGTTTGAAACTGCTCTGCTGTGGTGATTCAGTTTCACAGCAGCTGATCAGCCGGTGTGTCCATCACCCCCAGAGTTCCAGTAGAGGGGCGTGTTCATCAACACACTTTTGCTTACGATGCTCTGGTATTTCATCACTCAAGCCTCCGCGTTCATTGATCTTTGCTCCTCCAAAGCATATTGAGAAGCATTTAAATGTACCTCGTGACATAGTAGTAGAGCAGATCGATTTCCAGATCACCCAAGAGTCGATTGAGGAGACGTGAAATAAGGCAAAGGAGACATATCCGTATACTGACGAAGGCTGCTTCCACAGCACATTGTTTCTTTAGGCAGGGACGCCAACACAGATGCAATAAGCATTTATTTCAAGGACTTGTACGCCTATATTGTTAAAAATAGCAAATGTTGATGTAAGATACTGACCCAGGAACTGAGGAACACAATGCCCCGATGTCAACATGTCGGTGAAAGAACTAACAAAACAAAACATCCTTGGAGAATGTCCAAAAGCTCGCGCTGTGCTTGACTGCCCATTGTCTGCCCATTGTCTACTTTTGTTTGTGTGGAGGTGGACATTTTGGTGCGGGACATTTCAGAATAGTTCAGCAGCCGCAGCACTTTTCAGTCGACAAATGACTTTTAGCACCAGCATGTCGATTGATGTAAAACCTTTTCAACATTGACTAAATGTTCGGGCGTTACCTTTTCTCCATTGAGGCTGTTCACTGGTAACCTCGAACATACGTGATGCGAGTATAATTACTCTCCTTCAAGATAGTTTGAAGTAACCTCTGACATTTGCACTTCATGCCGGACCTTTAAAAAAATCAATGTGTTTGAAACATAAAATGTGAAATAAGCAGCGGGCTTAAGATATAAAACAACCTTTAAATCCAAAGGCAGAGGTATCAAGTTTTAAGAATCATGTGCATGACCCAAATATGCTCCCTATGACAAATCCAACATGCTCTTGGTACGAGGGTGTTGTCTGTACAGTCATTGCCATCTTAGTTTACTGCATCATAATGCTTACAACTTGCTAATTAGCACAAAATTCGAAATACAGTTAATGCTGATAGAAATGTCCTCAGCGCTACAACGATGTCAGTAAGTGAGCAGGACCAATACCACAACCCTGGAACTGATTCGGCTAAATGCGATGAAGCTATCATGCATTAAACGCATTAACCGTCTCCTAACCTGCACCTGTATGGACTCTTCTTAGAAAAGAACCACATCTAAAGCATAGAGTTCATTCCCCCGTCCCTATTCAACATTTCATATCACTTTCATGACATTACATCATGCTCTCTCTGGTCTTCTTTCTCCCTTTCATTGACTTCATTTTGACAAAGGTCATCTTATGCTCACAACGGTAAAATGATGACAGCAAGGAAAGAACACGAATAAGAAGGATACAGAGACATAAGAGAGAAGGGGGAGATACTGCTCATGCAGATGGGTCCAACAAACAGCGATGTTTCTGTCTGGAGCCCGCTGTTCGTTCCCAATGTGAAACGAGAAGTCACATAACTTGTGCACTTCCATGTTTTTGTTCATTTACCCAAAGGATGATCTATTCCTAAAGCTAATGAAATGATTGTGTTGCCTAAACCCAAAAAACTGAGTTTCCTGGGAAGACGGAAGTTTATTTGGAAAAGATCGTATGCCTGTAACGAGTGGACACGTGTTGCAGGTCATCGTGGGAAAAAGCACGAAAAATGAGGAGTAACTTTTTGTTGGATATCATACGAATCATTGTTTGAGGATACGTTGATCCACAAGGGGCACTGTGGGAAGTAAGTCCTGAAGTGGTTGTATAGAAGCAGGCTAACACAGGGACACGGGGGAAACACACACGAACAAAGTGTCTCTCTTGTGTTGATTTCCTTTCTTTCACTGTAGACGATGACATCAATAACCAGTGACTCACCGCTGACGAGTCTCAACCGCTCAGAAAATGCTTCAATGTGTGAAAGACAAAAAGTCTGACGCACTTAAAAAGAAAAAGAAAGAGGATGATCAAGTCATCCAAAAAAACAACACGTTTGTATGACGTGCGATTTGTTCACCAAAGAGGATGCACGATACAGGATGAAGCTGCTGAAGAAGCCTGAATGCTCAGTGGTTCAGCAGAGCAGCTGCAGAGCGGAGCTGCAACAGTTAAACGTTGCAGTCACGCTGCAAAGCTCCCAGGTGTGTGTGTGTGTGTGTGATAGATTGTGTGTGTAAGTGGTCCCCCAGGATGTCAGCGTAAATGAATAGTGTGTCCTCAGTCAACCTCTCCTAAATAAGGCTTTTACCGGAAGCCAATTCATTTAATGGTGAGACGTTATAGCTTTCCTCAGAATCTTTCCTCTTGTTAAAAAAGCCTGAAGACGTAGCTTTTATTGTCAAAACTGCAGGTGCAGAGAGAGCACTGCACATATATTGATCTGACAAAGTCGATTAACCTGCTATTGACTCTTTGGAGTCCTGCTGAAATTGAATCAGCGGTTTTGTTTTCTGCTCCAGCATACAGAGGAACAGTCAGAAGAGAGACGTTTTAATTGTTGGTTCCCCCGATCTGTGCATCAGAAAGCTGCTGTTTATATCTAAACTATCAAAGCATTTTTAAAATTGCATTGACTGTCAATGTTCTGTCATTAGCTGATGGCGACCCTGTCTCGGAGGACTAGTGATGTTTGACACACAAAAAGAAATGTGATGCCATTTCATTTGAACTTGAAGTATTTCTTTACTCATTCTTCTAATGTTCTCCTATGGGACTTTACTTCTTCCTGTTCTATGCCCATATATTCTCATACATGTATTTAATAATGGACTTGCGTTATGATCTTGCCACTTTGTTTGAAAACACATTACCTATTATAATATTTTGTATTTTTATTTATTTGTTCATTCTTTTTTTAAGTTCCCTGAAGACATTCTCCAGAATGGAGTAATTCCATTATAAACATTTCAAACTCTAATAAAAGTATGTTTTCAACATCTGCTTTATTGCAAATAAACCAAAGCCCATCTGTAATCCTCTGAGTACATAACAAACCCCCAAATACTAGGAACCTTGCACTTTTAGGTTCTCTATAATAATAATAATAATAATAATAAATCAAATTTATATAGCGCTTTTCAAAATACCCAAAGACGCTTTACAGGGCAGAGACAAACAGAACAAACAAACAAAAAGAAAGCCTCCGCTTTTATGGGCACGGCCAATAGTGAACAGGTAGTGCATTTCAGATGTAGCAGCTGATAACAAGATGTCACAGTAACAACGGAGGAAATGGTCTTTTTTTAAAGGAGACATTTGCTGCGTCTTTAATGCGTGTGGAGTCTTTACTGACGTTGGTTAGCTGAGCCCCGGGGTACACAAGAAGAAGGTAGACAGCTCAACATGATGAGACGGGTGTTGTAAATTCCTCAGGTTAATATTGTGTGTGTGTATATATATATATATATATATATATATACGTTAAGGTCTGACTCACCTGGGCTTCGTAGTCTTTGAGCATCCGTTTGGCTCGGGCCCCTCCGGGGTCATCCGTCACGTTGAGAATCACCACACTCTTCTTTTCCCAGCCGATGAATGAACCGTCCGTCATACCCTCCACCATGGCCAGGAAGTCCTCATAGCCGTGGTGACGGGTGGTCACTACAGAGAAGGAGGTCCAGTCGTACTCCTCGAGCACCTCGAAGATCACCTCGAGCTGGAGGGAGGTGGAGCAGGTGAACTGGAGGTAGATGGAGCCACTTTCCTGAAGGCAGTGAGAGAGAGAGAGAGACCTGATGAATCCATGAGAACATTTGGCTTTAAAATGAGAATGTTTGTGATCCGGTGACAGTAGCTAAAATATGTTTCTGAAAACATTCGAGGTGAGGATTATGCAATGCAGTAAAATGATCTTGAGCCAGACTGTGTGAGCTAATATTGCAGTGTGACCTCGTAGCTCACACTGATAGTGGCTTTAACAACGTTTTTATGAATTTATATTTAATGTGACAATGGTCACATTTCACGACTGAGGGATGATCTAAAATGATGCATATATTTTCACTACACTGACATCGGCCTTTCAGGCCTAATATTTTGAGTAGAGCTGTTGGAAGTGTTTCACTGGGTGAAGTCTCTGTGACAACGTTGTAATAAAGGGCGACAGGTTGCTACTTCAGTGTTTTACCTCAAGTACAAGCAGACAGGCTACCAATTCTATCAAAATGTAGCCCACTGACATCGGCATTCACTGCAAAATGCACAGTGCTAAACTGTCATGAACATAATGCAGTCTCTCATACTCCCAGTTATGTAAGAGTGTGTGCATACAGTAGCAGTCTAGCCGTTCTCATCCAGCTCCGCTACGTTCTTTGCCTGGTGGCTGGCTGACTGACTAAACAAAAGAAAAGTCCTTGACTTCTGAATAAGGCTTTCAGTGCCAATGAAAGAGACAGTGATAGCCTTCCTCTTGTTCTTCTTTTCTCTTTTGTATTATTCTTGAAACTAGAACAAAGGTAGAATCCATATAGGTTAGGAGTTGGAGGGTCCAAAGTGTGTTGGTAACAACTTTATTTTTGCTCTTCCTGAACACAAAACAAAGAGGCAGTCAAGCATGTGTTTAAATGAATCAGTCTCTTTGTGCGTCTTTGTGTACATGTAGATGATCAAAGGGGAGACGTCAGGGAGTCTCAGCGCCTCCCCGTGTCGACAGGGCTCACCTCGGGGTTACGCTGCTCTGAACTCGGTCAAATATCAAACCAGTGTCAGCCTGATTCATGTTGTAAGCTTGTCTGCTTGTCTGGACCCAGCTCAGAGGGGAGAGCACAGGGAGCGTGCTGGGAGTGAGTGGCGAGGGTGTATAGTGTGAAATATAAAACATGTTGGTGCCCCCGTAGACGCCGGAGCTTAAATACTCTACTTGCACGCTTGTCATGTGAGCACTCACCAGAAACAATGAATGACTGACGTTGTGTCCCAAGTCACAGTTTTCCAGAGCACTGTTGACACAAGGTTGATTGATTCTTGGCGTGAATCGAGGGGGGAAAAAATGCATGACTCAGCGTCCCGAAGGCAATTAAGAACTGATTAGAGTTCAGTTATACAAACATTTCTCAAATGCAGCGCTACTCTGGGGGCAAAGCTGCGCGTTTGTTGTTTTGAAGCCCAATAGGCAGGGTCACCGAACCGTGGCTTTTCCAGCTAAGCAGCATTTGGGTTGAACACAGTGCACGAGGAAAGAGAGGAGCTAAATCCATGTATTTTGCTTGCAACTGGCAACCTAAGTTAGCCTAGCTGTGCTTCCTAGTTCAAACTAGCATGCAGCTTTGTATATGAGCCGGTTAGGTAGACTTCAAGGAGCATAACTGCCATCATGACTGAATGAATGAAAAATGTCGTCCGTATTCTTTCTGATTTTCTTTTTGTCAAGCTGGCAAGTAGCTTACGAGCACATTCCGTTTGTAATATCATCCACACCCCAAAACCCACCAGTGGATTGAAATGCATGACATCATAGTTCTTAGCAAGACTTTGTAAAAACTGATATCAACATATTTTCAAATCTCCGGCAGGCCTTGAACACATAATGTGTATTTAAATTGTTATGTGTCATCAAAATCACTTTATTTGTACATCTCTTTTCAAATGTCACCCAAAATAACTGGTTTGCAGTAACCAGATCTTGGAGTAAAACATTCAATTATGCGCTCGTCAGCTCAATTGGGAAGCAGGCTGCAAGAGTTCTGAAGAGTGAAGCCAACGCTGAAGTGCCTTAAACCTGCATTCTTTCTAACGGCAGTCAGAGAAAATGACTCTACTTCTCTCTTGATTTATTACCTCAGTAAACATTGTAAACATGAGTTTATGGTCTCAATCTCTAGTTTCAAGTCTTCTTCAATACAGCATGATGTTCATTTAGTACATTATGGTCCATTTAGAGTCAAACAGACCATAAAGCAGGGGATGCTTTAGGGCAGGGCTACAGGGTGATTGACAGGTTGCTACCCTGGCGTTGTCTGGTCTGGAAGTTGTCTGTGTTTTTGTCTTATAACTTTCACCCTTTCACAGTGTGTTTTCACTTCATGGAAGTTAGTTGTAAAATGTGTACACGCTTAAAATGTTGTTCGGTTGCACTTCTTGTGCCACTTCTGGTTGCAAAAAACCAAGACGGAGACAGCCAAAATGCCGAATTTGAGGCTTCAAAGAAGCAGTCCACAGACCAATGGGTGAGGCCACATTGACTATGTCCACTTCTAAAACACAGCCTATGCTGGTCAGTGATGACAGAATATATGTACATATTTAACAAAAGCACATGGAGCCTTGTTTGCTTTTTCTAGTAGCACTTGTGAACACTTGAAATTGTTGGATATGGAGGTTCCAGTGTTTTTTATAGCATTATGGAACCAAACGTTTGCTGATAAACTCTTGAAGCAAGATATTAAAGGTAAATAAGATATTAGGCTCAGTAAAAGTCTAGCATTAGTGTTAACATGCAGCGGCAGCAGCCTGCAGAGGTGTATAAAGCTAATCAAAGGGACTTGATTGAGTCTAACAGGAGCAAAAGTAGATCTGCGCCTCGCGCGACTTCAAAGCGCACTCACCTCGCGCCTTAATGGCAGCTGCTTTTGATAATGATTATTTTCAGATGCTGACGGTTCAGTATCGAGCTCAGCGTCTTACATCAGATGTCACAGTAGCTGAAGTTGCAGTTATGTAGGAATCACAATAACCACATCATGCTGTCAAAAAGATCCACATGAAACAAATTGGCCTATTTATTAGGTAGCACATCTGTCATGTTGAACCTCTTTGTTAGCTTGATCTACTTCTTGCTAATGTCTGTGAGCACAATATTCCCACACAGATTAGCCAGCTGGAGAGCTGACGTTCATTAGTCTGTACCGAAAGCTTCATTTGAAACAAGGTGACTCAGCATTCATCATAACTGGATCGTGAATTTTGAAACTTACAAAAAGAAAGAATATATATTTATTGCAATTGCTAATACAAGTTGTCTCAGTTGTACACTGAACTACTGCAGTGTACACAATAAAATGTGAAATTACCAACGAATGTCTTCTGCTCAGTAATGCAGTGTTGCTGTTGAGCTCAGCAGCAGTAGCAGAACTAGAGCAATTTTGACAAACATTACATTTTCATCTCCCACATTAGTGCTTAGTGATGAGGCCGGAGCAGCAGGTTTTCTAAAATGTTTAGCATTTACAAAATAACTGTGTCCTCCCAGGGACGTCAGTCTGAGTGGAACTACGCTATGAGGCACTGCCGTCTGTTAGTGATGGTGACGGTTACACATCAATATTTCTCACAGGCCTGAAGCAATTGTCACATCCAGAGCTGAAATGTTTATTTCTGTGAAGAAATAAAGTAGTCTTGCTTCAAGTCTGTGCCAGCTCTTGCTATGATGAGAACCTAATGAGGTGTAAAGAAGTGAGGCAATAACCTCTGCATGTTTTCTAATGCTAGCACCTCTGGTCCCACGCTGCTCTTAAAGTTGCTCTATTCCGCTGTATATTGAAAATTAAACAAATGACTATCTGTAGTGTGAAAGGAGTTGCTCAAAGTGACAAACCCACAGAGATTATCAGCCAACCCTGGAGCTCCAATCAGCGTTGTCTTAAACCTCATAGTCTTGGTTTTACAGCTACAACGTCCTGGTTGAGTGTCGACACTTTCATTAAACCCGTTTACAGCTGCAGCAGGCAGATGTTTTCTGAGATAAAGCTCTAATAATCCTATTGTTTGCTTCCTGACCTGCACCAACAGCAGAGAGTCAAAGTAGGCGACTAGTAGGCGAAGACAGTAGAGCATCCAGGAGTTAGTTGAGACCAAAAGAGAGTTAAAAGCAGAGTCAATATTTGGATTCAATAGGAGGCCAAAAGTGCAACTAGAAATAAATGTTTAAATAAGTAACTGGTGGCAAACAAGTTTGCAATATCTATAACTAGATAAGGTCATAATATATTAAAGTTTGGTTTACATCTTGTTCTGCCCTCCCAAGGTGCCAAAAATATCTGATGTGTTGAAGGGAAATGTTTTTCTGAATTATTTATAATTAAAATGAAATATTAATCACAAATTAAAAAATGACTTGCTATGTCAATAATGTAATCCCCATAAGGACATAGTCCATTAAGAAACGCTTCATCCACGGAACAACGGCAGAACTCACGGCTTCCACCCACTTCAACAGATTGTGTTGAATAATTTAATAATTTACCGATATAACATAATTAAAGCTTTGTTTGCTGTTATTTTTGTTGAAATTCTCGACAGCAATCAATAAGTTAAATTTTCTGACAAAAAATAGGTATCCATGGTTGTATTTTACAATTATTTTTGACCCCAACTTCAAGGGAAACGTGTAAACTCATCCTTCGACTCCACTGAAGCAATAATCATAATTCTATCTTTGAAATAAAGATTTCCCACCTCAGAAAGATCAGTGGAGGTTAAGAGGTGGTTCTTCAGTCACTTCGCTCATTATTTCCTATTTCTTGTTTCATCTTTTAAGCCACAGACCCAGCTTTAGTCCCAATTAACAAGGTCGATGATGCAACGTTAAGTGAACCATTCATACCTGTGGCTCTCGTCCCAGGCTGGCCCCTCCCCCTACGGCAACCACAGGAACCCCAGTCTGGGCGGAGACAAACTCCAGCATGGGGGCCAGAGGGGCGCGGTTCGGAGGCGGCGGTCTCTCTTCCTCAAACACCAAACCCTGAAAGTAAGAAAAAAGGTTTGACAATGAAACAAAGCACATCAAACAAAAGGCATTACATCAGCCTCATTGAGAAGAATGTCCTGAGCTTCTCGTCACACAGCTGGCATTTCTTTTATTCTTATGCAGCAAGCTTTGAGAAGAAATTAGAGGGTGAAAGAATTAGAAAAATGTTTACCTTCACTAACTTTCCACAGGATTCAACATCTGATACTCCTCTATACTAAGACGTTACCCTGCTAACACAGATCTAGACTGCTGAAGAAACAGATTATTTCTTTAACAGGTTTATTGAAGTAATGAAACTGTTGGAGGCTTTTAAACAATGGGACGTCTGTGCTGCTCTGATTGGCAATCAATGTTCACAGAGATAAGATCAGACGTATATGTCCCCGCAGTGGACTGGCATCCTGTCAGGAGGGCAGTGTGTGTTGCACCTGCACAATTTAAGCTGCTTCACACCACAAAAAACACAGATAAGCTGATGGCTCATAGAACACCCCCGCTCCTACAGGGCCTACTAACAGATGTGGCAAACAAGCCATGTTTGGATGAATCTTCTGGTAACCGGGGTTTTGTTGTGATTACCGTTCAAGAAAGCGGTAATGAATTCAGGATAAACGCATGAGGGTCAGGAAATTGCCATTACTTTCCGTAATGATATGAGGAGCAATAGTGATTTGAGGCTGGCTTGATGACTCAACGCTTGTCTTCTAGTTGCGATTCAGGGGAGCAAATTGAATGTAAGTGTAGCTGACAGCTCAATTCTAACAGGGTAGCATCTGATAAGCAAATACTTGATCGAGTATGTTCATAACAACACCTTTACTCTGTTCTGACATGAAAACAAACTGACAGACAGACGCTGATTAGATACATAGATACATTTCCGTAGAAGAATGAATGAATATACGAATGAGCGACTCAAGAGTATCGCATGTGGTGCGTTTTATTACCTCCATCAGTATGATCACAAGCAGCTCTCAAGAGTTGAGGTGCAGACTCCCATCCACAAGTGTTATACTATGAATGAATGAGTGAATCAGTGAAAAGATGAACATGCACAATGAACATGAACATGACTGAATGAAGGGAGGGTTTGCAATTCCTCCAAACGTGAATGAACAAGCAAGTAAACCATGGCAGCAATAAGCTGACAGCCTAAATGTATTTGTCAGCTAGAAAGTCGTGGAAGACTTGTGTGCCAGGTGAATTGTATGCTGTGATTACCTGAAGTGGTGTGGTGGCCAGCAGCTCACACAGCTGCAGCAGCAGGGTGCCCGGGCTGCTCTCATTCACAGCCAGGTAGATGACGTTGGCCTGACCCGACGGCGTCATCACCGTCTCCCCTATGAGTGCCGCCAGGGACAGGGATGATGAGAAGGAGGAGGAAAACGAGGCCATCGCAGCTACTCCTTCGAACGAAGCTGTATCCGTTACTCCCCTTCCTCCTCCTCCTCCACCTCCTCCTCCTGGACCGTTTCCCGGACCGGGCCCCTGCCCCTGCCCCTTCCCCGGCTCGCCGACCCCCGTGCCTCCCACCACCGCCGTCTCCGGGAGCAGGGAGGAGCCCGAGTGGACCACAGCGATGTTGACCCCACCCGAGTCCCTCTCTCTCTCCCGGGGCCGCAGCAGTAGGGGGGGCGAGGGGCGCACGGGCCCCGTGCAGGCCAGGACAGCCAACAGCAGTGAGAGGGCGGGCCTTGGGGCCACCATGGGGTAAGGGGAGGGCCAGTGGCAGCAGTCCGATGGGGTTCGGCAGGTGAGGCCAGGTGGGGTTTTGGGGTAGTGGGTGACGTCTTTGGGGCAGAAGGGAGGGAGGAGAGAAGGGGAGGTCGGTGGCTCACAGTGCTTCACCTGATAAGGACAGGAGACCCTGGAGAGGAGAGAGAGAGATTATTATGAAAAATTGTGTCATCATTCTACTGTCAAACTTCTTCTGTAACCAAAAAACAAGTTTCAAACAGGAACACCTATTTCTCTTTTATGTAAGTGTTATCTCAAGCTATGAAGCACTTGTTCTCCAGTAAACAATGTAAATAGATGACAAACAATGCACCTACTCATCCCTGTATGTATTGTTCCTGACTCACACTTCCTGTTAGTTTTCAAACTTAGTACCATTTAGATTCCTAATGATTAAATCCTGCTGACATTTAGGATTAAAAAGGACGACAACAAGAGTTAACAGATAAGGATTAGTCAGTGCAGAGCAAAAGCTCCGGAGCGATGACTGTTTATCAATGAAGATGTCGTCTAAATCTAAATGAGGATCTTGTGGATTAATACATACATTGATGATATTGTAAATACCAGATGGGTTTGAAGCCTGAAGAGGAGCATAGCTGCTTTTATTTGACACCATTTGTTTGTGCTCAGTATTTAAATATTAATAACATGTTTGAATAGTAACAAAAGTCAATTTTCTTCCTAGAAGCTATAATTGACAGCAAAGATCTAGACTTACTGTTTTACCAACAGCGTCGTGGATTCTACCCGGAAAATAGTTTCAACCATCACAGTCAGTGTAAACTTCTTTTTATGTTGTTATTTTCAAATAAATACACAATTCAAATTCATAAATTGTTGCATTTCTATTCAAATACTTGCTTTGATTAAAAAAAAGAAATTGTGGCGTTAGTAGGTAATTATATATTACAAGCTGCTTAGAGCTAACGCGGGTGTTAGCTATTAGTTAGGAAATTATCACCGTTTATTTTTCTATTTTATGTTTTTACTGAGTAGAGCTTGAATACGTCATAATGTAAGCTGGTTAGCTCTTTGTTGTGGGCAGACAAGCCGGTCACTGTGAGTTACAATACGAAAAGTCTTTGATTCAGTTAGTTCCTCTAAATGTCTTTAGGTTGTTTCTCCACGGCTTATTCTTGACTTGCAGTTGTAACAAATTGCAAATTAACAAACGTACATTCCGTTGACGTATTTAGTGTGCGTGTGTGTTACACGTCTGCCGCTGTGTTCCAACTGCGACACGGGTCTGTAAATGTGACTCAAAAAATAATATGTGAGTAACCGGCCCGTCACCGGTCACAGCCAATCAGCTGGAAAACGTTGATTGCTTGCGTCCGATCGGTGCATCTCTACTGAATGTTATGTAATAGTGTAGGAAATACAAGTCCAATCTGGTAGAATTTGGGTCAAGGTTTGATTTGAATTTGAATATACTGCACAAAGCATACTTTGATTTTTGTTTTACTTTTAACCAATATACAGTAATAGTGTGTGGAAAAGAATTCCAACACAGCAAGTGTTTCAGGATAAAAAAGTAGAAGGGGGCGGCACAGTATGGAGGTCAGGTCATTTCCTTCGAGACAGGAAGTCCAGAAGAGTGGTTTTCATCTCGAACAAATTTAGCTTTTTTCCACAGTCCAGCACAGACTGAGGTCTCAGTCATACCATGCCAGCGTGTGGATGGACCCAGAGGAACAGGCATGAGCAGGACCACCGAGGATAAACGGTGAGTTCAAGCAGAATAAAGAAGCAGAGAAAGACCTGCAGGTGACAGAAGGGACAGATGAAGTAAGGGAACGAGAGAGGAGAGGATTAGATAGAGCAGGGATTCCCAAAGTGTGGGGGTGCGCGAGCTGCCTCTAGGGGGTGCGCGAGAGGAAACATGTAATGGTGGTCTAAAGGTGCAGTCCTGTCTCCTAAAAATGACGTTCCCCCAAAACTAAAATGCATTCTCAATTACGTTTGACCACAAACGTATTTTCTCCCTGATTACGTTTGTGTTTGATGTATTACAAATACGTTTCTCATCAACATATCTTTGCCATACTCTAGTCTTTATTCTTTTTCTGTGATCTGCCTCGCCTCTACCCCGCCACCCACAAGTTGTTGCCCCGCAGCCTGTTCCGAGGTCTGACAGACCTGACGATGGGGTGCCTCACGGCGGGGGCGGCTGGAGACCTCGCGTCCGGCGCCAACGGGTGAGCGCCCGCCACTCGGAACCATAAAATCAAGTCCCGGATTTCACCCCGGGGACATTCTGGAGGTATTGTGGCCGGGTGATGTGCCTCGTTGCTGGGGAGGTATGAGCCGAGAGTGGCGGGGTGTTATGGAGGTATATTTTATTTATTTGTATCCATCTAACCCTAACCACAACTTCCACTAGGAAGCCACGTCCCCACCCAAACCTAACCATTAAGAGAGTCACGGTTACTCCCGAATTTTACACGCGGGCCTTTGTGGAGGTATTGTAGCCGCGTAATGTTCCTCGTTGCTCGGCCTGGATGAGCGCGTTTCTGCTGGAGACAGGCGGCGTGTTGTGGTAGTATTCTGACCGCGTAATAGGGAGAAGGAGAGGCGGTGGTGGAGAGGGAAAAAAATGTTCAAATGTTGATTAGAAACGTATTTGTAATAAGTCAATGTAATAAGTCAAACACAAACGTAATCAGGGAGAAAATACGTTTTTGGTCAAACGTAATTTTTAGGAGACAGTGCAGTGAGGTTCTGGTTATCAGCTGTCTGAAGCTCTTATTCACGTCGCCACCTGAACACCAAGCATGCCAGTGCAAGTCAAAAGCCCCTTACATTGTTTATATCGAAATTGGAGGAGTTACAAAACAGCCCAAAACAACTGCAGTCTCATTCATGCTGGGTCTATAAAAAACGCACTGCGGGCTTCATATCTGGTCACAGAATAGCAAGAAAGGGGCTACCGCACACAACCGCCGAAGACGTGTGCTCGCCAGCTGCCAAAGAGATGGTGGAATGTATGATGGAGAGAGAAGCAAACAAGTTGGACATGATCCCGGTGTCCATCAACACGGTGTCGCAGCATCGATGCTTTGTCCGAAGACATCCGGGCTACATTAGTCGGTCGCGTGAAGAAGAGTGAGTTTTACTCTCTGCAAGTAGACCAGTCTACAGATGTGGCCAATCTGGCCAATCTTCTGGTGGACGTCCGTTACCTTTTCGAAGGCACGGTGCAGGAAGTTTTTTTGTCTTTTTTGTGTCTTTTATCTCGTAAACAAACGCCACGCGCGAGGAAACTGTTCTCTCATTGGTCCGAGTTTTATGCGGCTATAAATAGGCTCTGTTGCTTTTTTTATAAGGTGTGTGTGGGGGGGGGTTGGGGGTGCGTGAACCCGGTCGGGATGTAGAAGCGGGTGCGTGGCCTAAAAAGTTTGGGAACCGCTGAGATAGAGGATTGTAGATCCTGCTGCAGTGGGAGGGCAGCTGCAGAGTGTTTGTAAGGGAGAGCATGGGTACAGGGTCCAGAATGAGACCTGCATATGTATGAGAGTGAGACGGAGAGAGAGGAGAGCGTGTGAGGAAGTGTGTTTGTGTGCAACAGAGACCAAAAAGGACAAGCAGTAGTTCTAAATCTGAACACGGAGACTCTGCGTGCTACGGTATATAATGGTTCCTGGCAATGGAAAGCAATCTGTGCATAATTTGACATAATGGCCAAGTCCAAATATTCTGACTGAGTTTCAGATGCACGGATAATAACATCACAGTGAAGACATTTTAGCGACACATTAGCCGCTGTTCTGCTCTTGTCAGGAAATTCTGATTCTTATCTTCATACTTTCCTCTGCTGGTTGCTTATAATGAAGACACAACTGCACATGCTTTCAGGCCATTACACTAGAATGTGAATGTTAAAAGCTTTGCCTCTTTTTGAATATTTGAATTAAAAATGTACAATATAACAAAGACGCAGTGAACATTAACTGCTGATTGTACAGCTGTTACCTTTTGTCCGTCAGCAGTATTAATTACATTTTGATAATTGCAGTATGAGCATTCTTCACATTTAAGTGCAGTATGAGCATTCTTCACATTTAAGTGCAGTATGAGCATTCTTCACATTTAATTGCAGTATGAGCATTCTTCACATTTAAGTGCAATCTTTTCAAATATATATCAATGTTTGCAACTGTATCATCAGTTGCTGCAATGCAACATAAAGCTGGGCTCGGCTACATTGGATAAAACCAGCCAGAGTAAGCTAGATATCGATGTATCCCCACCAATAACCCAGCCCAGGGTTACCAACTGTCTTCCAATGACAGTAGCTAGCAGCACTAGCTCCAAACACTGACCCGTACCCTGCTACTCCCCGAGCATGTTCACTATTAAAATACTCAACGAACATTGCTGTTGTTAGTACTCACAGCTGCCACCCTAGCTTTAAATCAATCTCTACGATGACCCAGTGCCACCAATGCTGTTTGATTTCTGGGTGATCTCTGGGATGCGTAGCTCAAGATGTCAAATGAATATACAATTGAATATCTCACACACTTAAAATGTTAAAGTTTATAAGATTTTTGAAATCTTTATTTAGACAATACATTATCTCATTAAGTTACTATTTAAAGTTTTAATCTGCTGTGCCTTGTTGCTTGTGCACGGATGAGGAAAAATAAGAATGTTTTTCTTTTAAGTAATGTTTGGATTTTACAGCGGACATAATGATGTGGAAATCAGATTTTGGCCGCACGTGTGCATCCCTTTAGCAAGGTAGGAACTTCAATCAATGGAGGTCGGCAAAAACAAGAACTCCGGCTGTTGTTGGGTTACTTTAAGTGGGATACCTGACCAGAACATATCATATCAGCAGCTACAGTAGCCCAAAGGAGGCACAAGCACCTATTCACTATAACAAGCTCTGAGTTGCACATCTCGCTAGAGGGCACCTCGACCGAAGTTGTGGAGAGAATGAAGAGCTGTTTTGGGTTTTTGTTCACAGTCAGATTGAATATCACAGCAGTTGGATAACATTGTGTACATGAGGTTAAGCTCGACTGAGGATTCCTGTGTATGTGTAAGTAACTGAAGAGGATACAGATACCGTCCTGCAGCAGGTATTCTGATAATGTCTTTTTGAAGTGTCTTTGAGCAAGG